TTATTTGACGACTGAAATTTCCTAGCATCATTAAGACTACTGAATTTAAACATCACAGGGCAAGTATACTTTCCTGATTTTTTCCTGAGTCTGATTAGGTGGCAATTCGCTGATGGCATGCCACACGCTTGGAGACATGTCACTTTGATTTTGTCCAGAGGCGTCCGATCAGGCAGATTGTAAGCGAGAACGTTGTACGAGGACATGATTCGTTTAGTAACTTCACTGGCTATAAAGTCTAACATACGCTCAGATTTCAGCAGACTTTCCGGATTAGCATCATGAGTTGGGTTACAAAGAAGCAGTAGTGGCTTAAAGGTGTTCATATTCTCAATAGTTAACTACAGAAAGTACACTAGTTCCCAGACTAACATAATAATACTTAGTAATTATGTAGGTTAAACACTTGAAATTAGATTGTCATTAAAATACCTAAAATGATTAAAATACTTATGCGGCAAATGTTCTCTTGGTTTACCGCTCTTATTTTCCTTATAACACTCAGTTATTGAGCCTAATGTATTCTTTGATAATACGAATTATGACACTGACTATGCTCTTATTATACATAGATTGATTTACTTCACGACTACCTGTAGTACTAACTACCCTTCTGTAGTATTGTTAACCAAATGCTGAAATTTTGTTGGTTCTGTTAATATCTTTTTATAATATATGTAGACAGGTTACTTTGCAATGTCAAATGTTGACTATATATAAGACTGTCATGATAATTTAGTACACTAAGTCCTGCTAACCGACCTTACCTTCAGTCCATACTACCTACATTGATCCCTAACTATATTGTTCTGCTGAATCTTGCTTCACTATTCACAAAACCCATTCTTTTTACTCTTTAAGGTTTTAACTTCTTGTAAAGTAATCTGTTCATTAGGATGCATGCACACATATATAATGTTCATAAAGATGTACGCGGAGACCTATTGGAAGCACTCATTAAGAAAGGTAGGGGTATGGAATATGAGGTACAAACATGTCTGGTACCAAGCAGTATATTTGCGGTAACCATAATAATCATAGTCTCAGAGCTTAACATCAAAAATGAGGGAGGGTGGCGTTAGCTGATCAGTAGATATGGTGGTGGTCACTAAGGTGAATCGCCCCATTCTGCAGGAACAGCAATATACAAATTAAAGGCTCGAGATATTTCTGATTTTTATGAGGGCTTAGATCTTTATCTTGAAAAAGATAATAATGAAAGCCTTGACAGATCATGCTTCTACCTTTAAATATATACCATTCGCTCAGCCTATTGTTGAGATGCGACCATGTGGGATCTGCACAGATTTATGGGGCATCTTATATACTAACTTGCTGTCCATTGTCTGATCTTTAAATACCACTTAACAATGTCTTATCTCATTCATTTTTCAATAACGTCTTTACTTGACCCTCATTATATTCCATTAAACCTAACATTTTATAGCTTTTTATGAATTTGATTCGACTTATTCTATTCCTATTCTCTGAAGGGTACGGTTGTGCACCAAATGCACAAAAAGGCATAAAATAAAAAAACCGACATAAGGAAAAAATGTATTAAAACCAAAAGTAGACATAATGACAGTGCAAACTGTACAGGAAGCATTATACATTGCAAATGAACGTGGTCAGCCTAGGGAGTTTCCTTTATAAATGCATTTATTAATGATACTTGCACTTACCCATTTCATTACACTTTATTGATTCACCTTAGCACTTTTACTTTTCTAAAAACAGCTTTGAATACCTTGTAAACTTTGTACTTCCCTCAATATTCGTTGGTTATCGTATGCCTACAACCACGGGATGAAAACGAAACGAAGTCGATTTTCCCGCTCAACCTGGAGGACAATTTTACAATTCAATAACTATACAGCCTAGTTCAGACAATGAGTGTACTTATATATATATATATATATCAAATATTTAACTGTTGAAACATTATTAACTTGTAGACAATCTACGATTTGATATTATATCATACTTGATCGTGCCTGTAAAAATGGCATGCATTTTCATGTAAATTTATGTTTATATGAGAATATACATTATTATTATTTACTTCCTTCACAGAGTTTCCTAGAGATATAAGGTCCAACTTATTTTGCTCAGCAGTTGCATATACCTCTGACAACAAGTCGGGAAGACTTCGGGGACACTGTTGAGGCTATGCGGAACGCACAGTGATGCACGTATCTTCTTAGCTGAGTGACCCAAACTATTCTTACGTATGGAAAGTACTCGTTTATTACGTTGTGCCATCGCTGAAAACTAATCAATATGGTTTAAAGTTAAAGCCGAGCTAAATCGAAAACGGGTATATGGAAAAATAGTATATCGAGTGGATATACAGATTAAGTACTACTATGGATACCGTATGGAATTTTATTGCTTATAAATAAACAATAAATTTACAAAGTACTAAAAAGTAAAATACAGAGTTTATAGGAACCAATTATCCTGTAAATTAATCCTGGTATGTAAACCACAAAATGATGAACTTCTCTACAGTTTTCTTTTCTGTGACGTTGTTCGAAAGTTACAATAAGGAGGATGAGCCCTGCGAGAGAGTGGATCCAAACTTGATAACTGGCGGTGATATATCTGCAGAATTGGAAGCTAGAGTAGCAGCCAATATAAGTTATAGTTGAGCAGTGGTATAATATCCACTACAATATTCCAGAAATCGACAAAAATTTATCCATGTTATGGGGAGAGGTTGTAACGTTCGATTAGAATCTTCTATATCCCAAAACATTACCTTATTGTATTACTTCTCATACTAAGTACTTAAAATTCCGCCTAGTCCTCACTCCTACTTGCGCTCTATAAAACACTTTCTACCATATTCGCAATTGACTCTCAAGCTTTTGTCACATGAAACGGTAAAACAGAAGGCGTATGCAGTTTAGAAGTTAGGGTATATTTGCAGTTATCGACATAAAATATATGTACATCCTCCATTTTCAGACAAGGAAATTCTCAAAGTAATTCAGGGTTGCGCGCAGTGCACTAATAGTGTATTCATTACTATAATTATCCCGCGTAACTGCGAAGCTTCTGTTCAATTGCCGGCGAAGTTGCAGTTTCTCTCTGAAGGGTTCATTTACTGAACTTTCACACAGCACAATACTTAGTAGTAACGGATCCCGCCAAAACCATCTGCGACACAGTCGAAGTACTTTGTCAACTAAAAGTATTAACTTAAATATTAGTAAGAGTTTGATTTATCTGTAAACTGAGGAATTTAAGTACGACACAGCAGCATATGCCGGGAAGGTGTTCTTGGTGCCTGAAAAATCCTACAGGTACAAGCTCCATTGGTATAATCCACTTGGTGCAGGTAGATGTCGTCAGTTATGACAGCCATATCATCAGTATACAACTCTATGTTCATTCGACGATTGCGAATATAGACCTTGGCAATTAACTTAGCGGCATAAGGAGTGAAGTTTCGTAATATCGACGTAACTGCTTCTGGCGCGTGGTACTTATGAATTTGATAACTTCCGACGATGGCTTCAACACTCCGACGCTTCTCTGTGCGTGCACACCACTTATAGGCCTTGTACATTCATGCGTGTAGGAGACCTCTTCTGTTCATATATCGTTATAGGTGACTGTGAGAGCATTCAACTCTATTTCTGGTACTATTAAACGGCAATAGAGTATTCCGCACACACGTCCCTTTCTTAGGCACCCAGTGATGCCTGACATGGTTCAATACCCTGCGATCAACCGTCCTAATGACGCTAAGGTAGTGATGAAATCTGAATAGTTAGTAATCAATGCATTCTCATTTTAGGTGTCTCAGCCTCAACAAGACGATATAAAAACATGCGTACAAAAGGATTTCCAGTCTAAATGTATCAAGTATTAATTAACCTCACCTTACCTTCCTGCTGAAGGCCGGGCGTTGATATGGAGATGAGGATATACGTTGTAATGCGACTCAGGTTTTTTCGTCTTTCATTGGATAGAGCAGTGGCGGTCAATTGGAGTTTGAATTGTCCTTGGGTGCGTGCTGTCGGGTGCTGTCTTGGAGTGGTTGTGTTTGCGTCGTTTGCCAGCATATGTGATGACTGTAAACGTGAATTAGACCTTTGTAACGCTTTGTTTTTCTTTGTTTGTGCATGTACTAGGCTTTGTTTGTCGTACAATTCGTTGTTTGGTCTATCGGTTGCTTGCGATGTCAACGAACCGGTGGGTTCTTGTGTTTTTCTGTAATTTAGGTTATACATGCGGTATTTTCTTGATGGTTATTGATCATCTCTGTATTTCAATGTTGTTTTTTACGATTTATCTTGGAATAGTTGTGACATAGATGGATACTAATTGATAATTTTATTTTAGTCCGTTGCAGGTAGTCAATTCGAGTGAAAGGTGCACAGACTTTTTTTGGTGAATACATACTTGGAAGGCGTTTCTTCAGCTGGGATGAATTTGAGAAGTCATTAGCAGAATTTCAAAAAGTGAGGAAGTCATTTAATGCTAACAATGTAGTTGTCCTGCACTCACTATGTTCATAATTATAGCAAAATGATACCGGATGACAGATTTAAGTACGCTTACGTTGGCTTTAAATGCAATTTTGAAGTGAATCGTACAAGACCTGGATTAAAATTGAAAAATAAGTCGTAAGAAGAAGTGTAATATGATTTTATGAATATTTCAGGTCTAAATGCTACAATTGCTCGTCTTCATTTCGCGTGGTTTTGCGTAGTAGTGAATTCATAATTGCTTCCCACAATATGGTACATAACCATCCATGCAGCAGGGTGTACATGCAGAATGACCCATGGAATAGACGACTAACAGTTGAAGAGAAGGTAAATGTGGAACCACTTCTTCAGCGATCCCACTCATCCGATGAAATAATAATGCATGTTAAGGAGAAGTACCACAAGGATATAACTCGCATCGACGTTAAAAATATGAAAGCCGCAGTTACTAAAGGTAACGTTGACGTACTTGTTAAATACTTAAGGTATTTGAAGTCGTCGTGACATTTCTGAATTCCTAAAATCCCGTGGGAAGTTAATGGAGCATTATTCCGATGAACCGATCAGGAATTTACTAACAAGAATTTGTTTTGCAACTTATGAGCAAATGGAATTGTATAAACAGTTCCTTGAAGTTGTTGGTATCGACTCGACGTATAATACAAATAAGGGGAAGTAAGTTTACCAATTCATTAATCAACATGCAGGTATTCTTTGTTCCAATTACTTGTGACGGATAATTTCGGTCGCGGACGACCAGTTTTATTTGTGTGGACTAGAAAAGAATTCAAACGTGATGTAGTTTGGATATTAGACTGTTTTCATCAAATAATGGAAGATACCTCCAAAACAGAAACTTTCATTATGGATTGTGCACAAGCTGAAATAGCAGCCGTCAAGTTAACACACAGAGAAGCGCACATTGTTTTGTGTTCTTTCCATGTTTGCCTAGCATTCTGTCGTAAAGTAAGTTTTTCAAAGCATACTTTACATTTTATTCGTAGACAAGAAATCCCATTGTGAAGAACTACTTATGCCGTCTAGTGCAGTGTAAAAGGAGATCAGAGTAATGCCTCTGTTCTCATTTTCTAGATTTAATTTCTATTTCAGAGTTATTGGCAGATCGGATGCTAGTGTCAGTCAATATCTACAACGTCGTTGGATGCATCGACGATATTTGTGGGCAGCATGTTTCAGAGACAACGTGCTGACTTTTGGGAATGATACAAATAATCGCGTCGAGAGTTCCCACAAGCAAATGAAACGGTACTTGCAAAGATCAGATAGTTTGCATAAAAGTATGCTGAAGGTGTGTAAATGGTATCAACAAAGTTTTTCAAGAATACAGCAGGAGGCGATTATCGCCCAGTCGCGATGCTTCACCTATCCCTGTTCACAACGTCTAATCCCAATTATACGATTGCTGATGCCATACGCCGCGAGGAAGGTTATCCGTGAATACGAAAGACGACGATGGGCTGTTGTTGAGGTTGAATCCTTCGATTATATATTCTTCCAAGACAATGGGAATAGAGTGGAGGTTGATCTGAGTGCTTGCACCTGCACGTGTGTTACATTTCAGACTTGTTGGTACCCCTGCCGACACTTGCTGTTGGTCCATTTCAGAAAGCCACATTTTACAGGTATATTTGCGTTTCTATGACTCCGTTTTTAATGTATGTCGACCGAAAATTAATTAATGTTCTTATATACGGAAAGTTGTACTTTTTATTAACCTATTCGTGTGTACATTGCCTTAATTGGAAACAGGACACAAGCACTACCATCATTGCACCTGTAATATTCAGTTCATAGTTATCTTAACGTTTATTGTTCCAACTTTTGTAGTTAACCATGTGATGCAGAATTGTGAACAATGGACGTGGTCACGCAACTTGTTCGCATCTCAGAGTACGTAAGCGATTGTCCCTCGAAATCAACGTGACATATTGAAAACCAAAAAGAGTATCATCAATGCGGGCATTACGAGAATTAGTGACAAATTTGGAGAAGTGTTTGCCAATACTTATGCAGACGGAGTAATCGCAGGAATCAATCGTGTTCTTAATATGTAAATAAACTAAATTTGTATCATAATTAAAATAAAATTTTCATGTAAATCTTGTTGTCTTTCAATTCATGTGTTCCCTTTGTGAGCACGGCATGCTAGACCGGTGCTCTCTAGGACTTTAACTACTAACTGTACGTAAGTGTAATTGTGTAGGAACGATGTTGGTCGTCATACGTGTTAAATTATAAGTATTTTAGTGAGGTTACGTGCATACGTCTCATAGTCATATACAAGTCTTTGGGGACAAATGACAATAGTAGACATAACTTAGGCACTGCATTCGAGTTCCAGTTCTCATACGGTTACGTGTATTCGAAAGTATTGCATTATTAATGTTTCACTTAAAGCGTGATGTCAATCCATATGACTAAGGCTGTTAACATGTAGCGTAAATTGAAGTCCACACGAGACGAATTATTGAATTTGTTGAGCTTTAGCAATCGTATTTAGATTTACCTTACACTAAAATATGCCACCAATTACTTCGTCAGGTCTCATTAATAAGTCATGCCTGCATCTAGTCATCATGACAAATATATCTACGCTCAGATAGAATAAGAAAGGTCTGGTAAGCAGGATGTTAAATATACCTAATGAAATATAATAACAAGCAAATGTCTTTACGCAGTTGTTTGTCGTAATAATTTGGGCAATGTCGAATCTCTGTGACCGGGTTGACTTACGTTACCGGATATCTACAAATAAGTAAACAAAGTGTTTTTAAATCGCTGAAGTAAGAAAGAAGTAATATCAAAGTTAAACGCTTTATATTTGCCTACCTTTGCTGAAAATTGTTCATTCTCTGTCAATGTAGTTGAAGATTGAACGATCAATTCATGGTTGTTTGCAGAAAACCAACTTCCGAAATTTTCACGGAGGCATCAATACGACAGTCATCGTCTCATCGGTCGCTGTTCAGAAAGAAGAGTAAAAAAACCGTCAGAAGTAATATTGTGATTTATTATTGTAATATTTGTTCACAGACCTTAATGTTAACATTTTTTATATGTTGGTGTTACAATAAAGAATTCTCAAGTGGCCAATCGGTGTTTTGGTTTTCGCGTCCGTCATTACTAAGCGTTTCTGAGAAACTTCAAGGAACAGCGTGAGTCCGAGCGTAGCAAGAGCTGGGCATTGACGGTTTACGAGACGTGACTGACATTCTCCTTTCTCATTCTTTGTTCAGGTAGCATTCTTCTGTGGTTTTCACTGCCACACACATTGTTCGTCTTCTAAATGATAGGAGCGAGCATAAAATAATAATTTCATATGTCGTATAAACCAATGTTTACAAAGAATGCATGTCATTTCTACAGTCGCAATAAGTTATGTTATAAACTGCAACCGTGAAGTATCATAAATTAGTGCATCTTCAAAATTTTATTCTTTCAACTATTGCACGAGTAATTAGAACAGGTTATGATAAGAGTTAAATTGTAAACCCTTCACAATGAACACTGTACATTTGGCTAAGTGCTATGTCCTTGGAATGTTAGTATACGTTTGCAATGTTTAATGCCAACCATATCGGTGTAAGCATAGAATATATGACGTTTTCCATGAAAACACAGCTTTGTTCAAACACTGGTGCTGTTGTGTTTCTAATAAAAGCAACTAGACTGTAAGCAAGCAACTAACAGGCACAAAGAGTAAGTCTCAGCTTTAATAAAGGCATATCCAGTTAACATAAAATGCAGTGTAATAGTGCACAAATGAAAAGACCATCGTGAAGTAGATAAGTGATATTTCAGTGAAAGGTAAATTGAAAGCTCTACAACCTTACAATTTGTAAGACAACCTGACATGTAAGATCTCTTACAAATTTCTATAGGTCCTGTGGGGTACCATGGATGGTTTAGCGTCAGTCGGAGCTTTGGAAGGATGTGTTACAAATCCAAAAGGTAATAACCAACGAAACTGCAGTAGTATTTTCTAGCTGTTCGGCCTTTTCTCCTTTGATGCAGTTTCTTATCGACAGTTTGCAGTATTTAGAACATCACAAGTTGCTTACGGATAACTTGTTTAATAATAACTGCGTTAAATATATAAGCCATAAATGCATCTTCCACATCTTTCATAGCCACAATTAAGTCATTAGGGACCTCAGAATATCTTAGTGATGTGAAACAAAATAATTATTAAGATTGATGTAACCTATGTAACAGGTGTAGTAGTTGTATGACACAGGTGCTAGCTACTAATCAACAGAAGGCTGATACTCATTTTAAGTACTCTTGTGGTGAACCTTTTACTCTGTCAGCTTAGTTACCCAAATTCAAATAGAAAATAAAGTACCAAATCAGTTCAGTTACGGGAAGAATGTATTAAAGTTTGGTTACTTGGGTTTACAAAGATTCAAAGTCCACAATAAACGTAATAGACTCCGGAGGCGCTGCGGGAAGACTGCTCCAGTACTAATTCTCCAATGTTGACGTTGCCGGAGGTCGACCAAAGTACGTAGGAAGAACTACGGTGCTCCTGCAAAAATTTGAGATAGAAAGCAGGTGGTTAAAATTGATCGACGGCAGTTGAGATGGTGGAGAAGACGAAGAGTCGAAGGCAGAACTATATATTTATTCAAAACCCGAGGTAAAGTTCAAAGTACAGAGTTTATGGTTAAAACAAAGTGATGTACAATATGTTCATTTCTTACATAGTAGTAAAATTTGGATAAGTTTATTTTTGAGGACTCTACACGGCCCCCCCTCTTAGAGGTCCGGAGGACCATCAGTACTGTCCTCGTGGACGATTACTTGGATATAAGCAATATAAATAAGGGACAATGTCAACAATAAGGATAACAAAAAATAACAACAACAACAATAAGGATACAAAGTTAGATCAGGATGTATGGAATGCATCCGTGTCGTATAAAGTTTAGCACATACAGGAATTAAAAAAATCAAAACTTGTTATAATTTTAAATAAAAAATTTATGTACATAATAAACCATGACATGTTCGTTAACATTTGTGAAATTCATATATAAATAGATATATACATATACTTGGTGAATGCGTGTGCTTGCAGTACAGTTAACGAACAGCAAACAGTAATTCTAATAAATATTTATGGTTATAATGAAATGAATCTCGACAATAGTAATGAGAAGAATGTCTAAATGAGGTTAACGTACTTTTTTATGTCAGTCAATAAAATGAACATAGCGGGCAGGTTTACAGATCTGCCGTCCACTGCGTGTTTGTACAGGGGGAAGTGTGAAGAGCGGGAGAGTTGGACTTGCATCGACTTTCTGATTGTTTATTGGTGCCGGCGTTGCTAGTGTATCATATTCGCTGTCGGTGTACGCTGGTTTAAGACGATCAAAAGAAACAGTCTCCGGTTTACCATGTTTGTTCAGCGTAAAGTATTTATCGGTGCGTTTAAGTACTAGAAAAGGACCTTCATATGGATGTTGTAAACCTTTTCTAACGGCATCGATGCGAATAAATACAAATTTGCTAGTGAGTAGATTCTTATTAACTTGAGCTTTCTGAAGTGATTGGCGAGGGGCTACTGGTCGAAGCTGAAGCATTTGCTGAGTAAGGTTGTTGGTGAAGTCGGAGATATTTACTTCAGTTGAATCATTAGACGGAACTAACTGACCAGGCAATGTGAGGGTAGTACCATACACAAGTTGAGCTGGTGTACATCCCAAATCTTCTTTGACAGTTGATCGGATACTGAGAAGAACTAATGGTAGGTGTTTACTCCACTTGGATGAGTCAGCTTATGCCATAAGGGAGCTTTTCAGTTGTCGATGGAAACGTCGCACCAGACCATTCGCTGCAGGATGATAAGCTGTAGTGGAGATATGGTTCACTTCAAGGAGTCTCGTAAACTCTCGAAACAGAGTTGGTTGAAATTGAGCTCCTCGGTCTGTTGTAATAGTTGTGGGTACTCCGTAGTTTGACGCCCAACGATCTAAGAAATCCAAAGCGATATTTTCTGCAGATATATCGTTGAGTGGACAAGCAATAGCTCATTGGGTAAATCGATCAATCGCGGTAAGTATATGAGTAAATCCTCTGGATGGCGGTAATGGTCCAATAATATCTAAATGAGCGTGTTGAAATCGTTTATCCGGTAAATTGAACTGTTTTGGAGGTGTGACGGTATGATGATGTACCTTGAATCTTTGACAATGCAAGCATTGGCGGGCCCATTTCCGAATATCGGAGTTCATCTTGGGCCAAACAAAACGCTCGCTGATCAGCTTGACTGTAACACGTATACCAGGATGAGACAAGGAATGTAGATGTTCAAACAAAGGTTTTCGACAACTTAGTGGAACAAAAGGTCTATGAACGCCCGTTGAAACGTCGCAGACGATAGTTGTATCAGACAGGGGAATAGGTACATCCTGCAACTGTAGGGAGGACTTTCGTCTACAAGTATGGAGTTTGGCGTCATTTTTCTGCAACTTGGCTATATTGTCTAAGCTAATGTCTATCGAAGATAGGTGATTAACGTCACATCGAGACAAGGAATCGGCTACGATATTGGAATCTCCTTTGATAAACTGGATGTCTGTTGAGAATTGTGATATGTAATCCAGTTGTCTGGCTTCTC